AACTGACGTCTTTAGCTATGTCCTGTGAAAATTTGAGAGAAATTCGTTAAAACCCGCAGGAGCACAACTCGTTTGAAAATCAGTAATTACCGTAAAATTTTTCGGGAGAAAATTGAATTTGAATATTACATTTTCAATGATTTTCTTAATGCAGTGAAATGTACTTCATTAAATAACTCGGCGAGTTTTCAACATTTTTCGTTCAAACTTGGTCAGATAGTAGAACTAGTCTAATGCTTGTATGGAAACCAATAAAAAAATTTTAGGCAAAATTAACACTCAAAGGTGTTCTGTAACCTTAATCGTGTTATTATTAGTCAAGGGCACCTGTTAACTGGAGCAATTAATGCTAATCTGTAACGGTAGAACTCACATCTGAGTGCATGGCTACTCTGATACAGACTTAATTGATCATAAGTGTAAAAACTCGTGCACAGCATTGCGGTTCTTTCATCCAGCATTTCTATAGAGAGTTTCTCTTCAGGCCCTCTGTTTTCATTCCTCGGCAAAACTATAGCCCTTCTGTCCCTTCCATCTTAGCTGTGCACGTGCTGCGTCACCATGTAGACATGCGCGGGTGGCAGCCAGATTTGCTCTAATAGGCTGGCAGCATGATCACTGTAGATTTTCACGATCAAGCGCATTCGTTTTAACACAAACTGTAATCCTCAATATAATTCTTGACATAAAGTACAAATTAAAACAAAAGATACAAATTTACCAATTACTGCGAAAGTCACGCAATGCTTTTAGTCATGTGACCCCCCTTGGGCATGCTAGCGGAATCCTAGTCTCTGCGTTATTCTACAATCACGTCAATTCGCAATTCCACACATGCTGTAATAAGAGAAAATTGCAGCAACCCCAGACTTTTCCAAACATTTTACAATATAAATGCAAATGTATTAAACTTGGCTTACTCATAATTTTGTCTATATGATACTGAAGCTTGAAAATTCACCGGCGGCTTCGCCAGGAAAAGGTTGCGATATAAATACATATCAAACTTACTAATAATTTGGACATTTGTGATAGTGTGGCTTTCGACTTCACCATAAGGCGTGGTCGCAGTACACGTGTAATTTCCTCCAGCATCTGGTCTAGCATAAACTTGGAGTGTCCGTCCCTGTTTTATTTTCCGTATTGTACGGCCATCTATAATCTCCACGCCGTCTTTATACCAGGTAATTGTTGGACAGTATGGGTGGGAGTAAAAACAACAGTCAAGTTCGAAACGTTCACCGCCATCAAAATCGGAATACGAATCCGTCGCATCGATGATCTCCAAAGCCCCTTCATCTATATAGACAGTAATAGTATTTATAATTGCCATGCACTATATATGTGAACTACAACAACACTGCCGCAGTTATGCGTATAAGTAAAGAATATTATTATTTGTTTGTTTTATCTTCAAGCACTACGAGAAAACTCCAAGCGTAGATAAATATTCATGTTTTTGGCTAGGTTTATGCAAAACATGGTCGGTTCATCGTACAACGTATTTATTGGTTTTTCGGCAAATCAAGCAATTGCAAGGTTTTAAATTAATTGATGAATAATTAACCATTGCATTAAAGCACGAATGGTAATTAAGCGAAACATTGCTTTTGGTTAGTTAGGCGAAAACACAATAGGCATGTTACATAACTAGAAATACATGCACGCAGCAACCCCTCGCCTATAATTTTCAAACGTTGATTTAACATGAAGTGTTCGTAATTGGCCAACATGCACTGAATGCATGCTCACGTTGGGGCGTCATTTGTTGCCATGACAACATGATATTTTAAGTTTTTTATATTTTTTGTACAAATCGGCAAAATAGTTGAAAGATTAGTACTTTTAACTACACAACAATGACTTTCCGAAATATATACTGCAGGTATGCTATTTTGCATTTTGTGAGCTGTGATTTAAAAAACGCTTCGTTTAATAAAAACTACTTTTGCCACTGACTGTTTTTATTTATTAATCAAATTGCTGCATGAGTATTATCAGTTCGGTCTTCAAATTAATTTGCTCTCCTTTACATTTCAAATTCTTTCTTCATAAATTAAACATGCATACAAGTAGTTTAGAAAACTTACAACTTCATTCAAAAGAAAAGTAGTGCACTTTTTAGCAAAAAATTGAAGCAACGAAATTCATAAACATTAAACATTCAAAGCAAACTTGCCCTATATTTTTCACGATTTCCCATTGTAAATCAATTCTTCTCATTTTTTCAAACGAAAATTGCTTCAAAGCTCATTGTATGAAATGAATTTTCCAAATGTATGGTTTGGAAATTTTTTAGATCAGTGAGGAGGTCCACCCATGAAACCTTGCATTACAGCATGGATAATAAAATAAATGGATAGGACTCTAGTTGACGTAAGCAAAAACAACATAGTTGCAATCTGTGACGTCACGCGTATTGCAAAATGCAAAGTTCTCTGCATTTTTGTTGTTTCGCTATACTTTCCGCTTTAAAAGAGTAATATTGAAGCATATATACTGGTCTAATTGTTTTGAAAACATGCCTAAGCCACGACAAAATATTCAAGGTAAATGTCTTTCGTCTTTGTTTTGTATTTTTTTACATTTGTAGCTACGAAATTGGCGTCCCCAATTTTAACGAAATTTGGGATGCCGTTTTCACTGTTTAGTACTTGAAATAATTGCTAAAATTGACTGGGAATACTTAGAGATTTCATCGTAGAATGGCGTAGTTATATTCATTTGCTCTTTGACTAAAATGTTTAGCTGTGTTATTGCTAAACATGCCGTTTTTGAGAATTTGGTTTGCAACTAGGTTTCAACATCCAATCACGCCATCAGCCCATTGAAAACATTACGGTCACGTCAGCTAGTTTCCTATCCATTTATTTTATTATCCATGCATTATAGCTAGTACCCGCCCGCGATTATGCGGTGTACTTTAGACGTTGATGAACCTTAGACTAATTCTTTCCTTTCTCCGGGTGACAATTGCCGAGCGAAAGATCAAGACAAAAAACATAAATAATGAGACATACAAGTGTCTCCATCGAGTTTTTTTGCTTCGTTTATTCTAAATATACTACAAATGGATTTGCAAAGGATAAATATGTTATTTACAAATCATTTTAATATTTCAGTGTGTCAATAAATCTCAAAGCAGACTTAGGAAATAATCCCCGAACAAAAAGCGCAAAGCCC